CCAGTGCCGCCTCCGTGGAGGTACGCCTGCTTGGCCAGCCCAGGAACCTTGTAGGCACGCAGCCATGCCAAACAACCTTACGGAGAGGAAATCACCTGCCAGGAGCGATGGCAAATATGCGGAGAGATCCGAGGCCGCTGCAGTTCCCCTGGACGCGGCTGATAGGACCCGTTCCTTCCTCAACGGGGACGCACGCTCACGTCTCTGCCCCGAAAGTCCATCGACAGCACACGTGCCTCTGAGCAACCGGCCGGAAAACACCCCACTGTACGCGCGGCTGCCTAGCACGCCCCGCGAGCGTGTGGCAACCGAGACGTACGCTTCCAGGACCAGTGGCCTCCACCTCGGGCAGCTTTCTAACCACCTCTTTTTTATCAAACCCAGCCATGCGAGGGGCCCCAGCACCCCTGACCACACTCGCACCTTCAACGATGGACTGCACATCACACATTCATGAAGCGTCCTCAATATATGCAGCCTCCAAAGACATGAGGGCACTCGGGTGATGGGGACACCCTCCAAAACACAGGCGTGAGCCTTCCCTTTCTTCCTAGCTGCCAGCTGCGTGACAAGTGCTGGAAAGCCCTCAGCGAGGAGCCCCGGGGGACCCTGAGCCCATCACGGGGACAGCTGCCTCACCTCAGAGGGGCTGCCTATCTCCCTCGCGACTCTGGCAGACTCCCCGCTTTATCCTCGTCCTCTGCCGCTTTTGCCGGAGCCTCCCTTGCCTGCAGTCGAGCGTCGCCGGGGGGGCCAACGGCTGGCTAAACGTTTTTGTGAAACAACCACCGCGTGTGCTCCCACAGGCTCCATCCTCATGAGACCACCTCTACACTTCTAGCACCTACTGGGTAAGAAAAGGAAAGCTTTTCCTTTCCTGTGCCTATCTTCTGTCCTTTTCTCTTCCCTGCAGGACCGACCATGGATCTCGTCCTGAACGTCGCTGACTACCACCTCCTCACGCCCTACGTGTATCCCAGCACGTGGCCGGAAAATGAACCCTTTCGACAGCTCCTCAGTCTCTTTGTCATCACCAACCTCGGGGCCCTTGCCCTTTACTTGCTGTTTGGCATGCTGAGCTACTACTTCATTTTCGATCATGAACTCAAGAAACATCCCCAGTTCCTAGAGGTGAGCGCACGCTCCGCAGCCTTCCCGGCACTCAGGCTTCGCTGGGCCTGCCAGCGACCGCCCTCTCAATCGTATGTGTTTCGTAGAAAAGGGGAATGATCCCCTTGCGGGCCTTGGGTTGATGCAGCACTGACGCCTCCAATGCCATGTCCCGCCATGTGGGCAGGTTCCAGTTAGTAAGGCGGCCTTTGAGCTTGCACTCCTGAGGGACGCTTTTCTCCCTTGTCGCACCTCTAGTGCTACAAACCTGAGTAGGAGGACGCCCTCGCTTTACTCACACAGAAAGCTCACGTTAGTCACAGAGGGCACAGTCACATTGCACCCAGCAAGTCCCATCAAGGTCTGTAACAACATAGCTTTCAGATGGTGCCACAGGCTACTCGTAGACCCTTTCCTTTTTTTGCTCTCAAACAGTCAACACATTGCACCAAGCCCTCATTCCTCACAAGACATGCCCAAACTACTTCCCATATGCACAGCACCTTCGTGTCCCTGCACTCTGCCCTCAGCCCCCCGCGCCCACATCGGTCCGGGACCTGAGGAGCTGCACGTCCCTGGCCTGCTCTGAAACAAGAGTGCCCCCATACCCGCCGACACCGACATCGCCTGCTCCAGTCCCAGGGTTTGCACACACGCATGTCACTGAGGCCCAGTGTATTGCCTCATCGTGCAAAACAGCCAAGCTGCCTGCGACATCCCAGGCTCATTCCCCAAAATGGGTCCTGTCGATGGTATCTCATGCTCTGGATAGATTGATGCGCGTTCCCCAAGACCATGTTTTGCAGACACCTTGCAGCAAACGCCTGACCTCGTACAACACTCACGAGAGGCCTGGCGCCGTCGTGCTGGCCTGAGAGAAAACAGGAGTTCCCCTCCGTGCAACTCGCACATACGCCGAGCGCTGCACTAGTAACCACAGTACACAGCCACAGCAGAAAGCAGGCTGGCAAAAAGGGCACCCGAAAGCTATGGCCTGCATTGGTGTTCCCTCATGTGCAAGCACTATGTTGCAATGTTGGGCTTGCATTCCAAGAGAGGAGTGACAGAGCTGGGGAGCCGCGACACACGATATGCACGTGCATGCCACCTCGGTGACCGTGACATGCTCTGAGTCCTGGTGATGGGAGCCACAGTATGCCACTAGGCATGCGGCAACTCCCCGGCCTTTGACAGAAATCCCATCTGCAAGATTGCAGCCTCCCGAAAGCATTGGGCCCTTTGTCATCTCAGAGCAGCTATGGGCACAGCTCCTGGTCCAGACAGGCCCTGCTGCTGCCGGGCAGCAGTCTCTCTTTTCCTCAGCGAGGCATGGAGTGCCTCAGAGGCGCGTGACACAGGGCTTCTGCTCCTGGCAGGAGCCACCCGGCGAGGCTGACCAGCAAGCGAGCCGTGGGCGGCCGAGCCACCCTTGCTCCCGCCCTGGCAATGCGTGGAGGCAGTTGGTGCGCTGTGTCGCTCTCATCTGCACACACGGTCCCTAATGCACTCTCTGCCTTCATGTTCTCCCTTCCTCACTTTCTCCCTCAGAACCAGGTGCAGCGTGAGATCACCTACGCTGTCCAGTCCCTGCCGTGGATCAGCGTGCCAACCGTCGCCCTTTTCTTCGCAGAGGTCAGGGGATACAGCAAGCTCTATGACAACATTGAGGACTCCCCATATGGTAAGGAGCTTCCCTAGTACCTCAGCTAGGTCACCAGCTTCGCACCCTTCATCCACGTAGCGCCCCTTCCTCGCTGCCTCTTTCCCATTTTCTCCTTGTGAGCTAGTTTCATCTCCCTCGGCTCCCCTTGGAGCTGGTGTTCCACTCCCACCGGCAAGCACCAGGTCATGCTTCATACCGGCCCAGAGGAGCACGCCTACATATTTCCAGGCCATGACCCTCCTCAGAAATGAGCTTGTTGCAAACTGATCACTGGGCTGACACAGTCAGCGTGATGACCTCATTGTTTCTGTTACAGTGACAGGCTGGCTTGCTGAAATGCAGCCCTCCCTTCCCCTTTCCTAGCTCCCGCAACACTGGCCCCCACCACACTTCTGCTAATCTTGTGATAGTGGTCCTCCTTCTCACTCCATCTCCTCCACGACAGGGACCATTACAAAAAGGCAGCACAACTGGTTGCTGCCCTTGCCTGAGCCCCTCCAGTAGGTGATACAATATGCAGCAAGGGTGGGTGCCGTACAACTGCACCTCGCCCATAGGCAAGCCTCTTTGAGAGAAGTGAGAGGCACGCTGGGGAGAAATACCTCCTGCCTTGTTTCATGAGCATCATCATTTCCCTGGACCTCTACTTTATATGCCTATGAGCTCCCCTACTCCTTGGTTTGTCCTCCCTGGTCTAAACTCCACGTCTCTTGAATGACACACCGCTAATGTGCTTTTCCCCCCAGGGTGGCCAGGAGTTGTTCTCAGCATGCTGTCTTTCCTCTTTTTCACTGACATGGGCATTTACTGGATACACCGATTCCTCCACCATAAATTGCTATATAAGGTAGGAGATGTTCCTGCATGCTCTCCATCAGGGCTGTCCCTTGGTACCAGAGCTCAGGAGAAACTACTCATCTGGGGGGGGAATGACCACAGCGGAGGGAGTGGGGTACAGTCAGCCAAGCCAACAGTTACAGGTTTTGACCTTGGGCTTCGTCGAAAAGGGAGACGTGAGTCAGCCCCGAGCCAGAACGGGCACATTTTTCAGGCCTTCCTCCAAGGCTGCCCAGCTGGCGACAGCCCCTTCCCTTGTCATTGCTCACAATGCCTCAGACGCTCTCCTGTACCTTCTGGCCACCATGAGTGGCTGCCCTCTCGTGCAGGCCACCCAGCATGTCCCTGAAGCTAATGTCCCCTGGCACCTGTGGTCTTGCAAAGGAAGCGGCGGACCGGGTTCCCCCCGCCACCGCACTGCGGTGAGCCTCGACGGGTCTGAGCTCTTCCTAACCAGGAGGACACACCACGAACACTAGTTTTCCAGGACACACCAGGCCTGTGCTTTAGCCTTCCCTTCTTGTCGTGCCAACTGCGCTGTCATCTTTAGCGTAACACTGACCGTTGCCTCGGCAGCCCTTTCAGGTGGCACCCCTTTCCAGTGCCACAGCTACAATACCAGAGCAGAAAAAGCATTCGCAAAGGCCTAACTACTTTTTATAAGGCCTGTCAGGGCACGGCATGGTCCACGGCTTTTCCCCGTGGCGACCTCCCTTCAGATCTGGACGCAGGGAGAATGGGGCGGAAATGGCATGGGGCAATGGCGACACGCGGCCTGACCCACCGGTAGGCAGCATCCCACAACGGGGACGGGAGGTTGTGGGCTGGACAGCCAGGCCGGGACAGCCAAATAGACTTCGGCAACTGATTCTGCTTTCTTTTCTCGTAGCGTTTCCACAAGCCCCATCACCTCTGGAAGATTGCGACGCCCTTTGCAAGTCACGCTTTCCACCCTGTCGATGGCTTCATGCAGAGCCTCCCCTACCATGTCTACCCCTTCCTCTTTCCTCTGCACAAAGTGACATACTTGGGTCTCTACATCTTCGTCAATGTCTGGACCATCTCCATTCACGATGGCGATTACCGCGTCCCCAAGATCTTAAGGCACGTCATCAACGGCTCTGCCCACCACACTGATCATCACTTATACTTTGACTACAACTACGGTCAGTATTTCACGCTCTGGGATAAAATCGGCGGCTCCTACAAAAGCCCCACGTCCTTTGAGGGCAAGGGCCCGCACGACTACTTGCGCAAGCTCCGAGAGAAGGAGTCAAATGGCCAAGGCAACGGTTGTGAGCCTCGGACGATGCCTAACGGGAACAGCAAAAAAACCAAATAGTTCTCTGTAGAGTTACCCTTATCACAGAGTGCCAGATCTCATTCCATTCCTTTCTCTTCCCAAGAGCCAACTTCCCTGTACAAAAAGCCGTCTCAGTATTGCTTCAGGATCGCAGTGATTTTGGGTGCCTGAACGTGCTCGACTGGCTGGGGCTAGAATGCTTAGAGACCGACAGATGGTCCCGTCCTCGGCGTTGGTTGGGACTGAGAGAGAAAACCTGAGCTTCCATGCCCAAACTCGCTACGTGACCCTATGTACCGCCCCCATGATTTCTGACAACTGCTGCGTGCTACCCTCAAAGGCCCCTTCCCTGAACATTGACAAAATCTCGCTGCAACACAGGCCTGGTCCCAACAGAGCGCTTTTGCTGTTTGCCAGATGGGTTACAACCAAACCCCTCGCTGGTTCTCTGCCAGAGACAGCTCCCGTGAACTGCTATGGCGGGTCTCACCTGCCTCTCGTGTCCAGACGTGCCTGTTCTTCCAGGGCCCGCTAGGCTCGGCCTCACATGGCACACCAATACCCTGACACTACGTGAGGACATTACCGCATCTCGAGCCCAGCAGAGGACGCATGCTGGTTTGGTTCTCCGCATCTGCACGCAAAGGCCAGCACGTGCCTCATGCATCCTGAGACTGCCACTGACCTGTCCCGCTTCAAAGATCACCTTCTCCTCTGCTGTGAACCCCCTCAGCAGAACTTGCGTGACAGCGACAGCAATTGCAGGTGCGTTCGGAAAGTGCTCGAACCCCTGCGCGCTCCCTTCAGAGTACTACCCTCATAAATTTCCGAAAATCGTTCTGAAACCTGTCTGACTCCTACCCAATTATATCAGTGCCGAGTTCCTTGGCGGCTTGAGTAGACTGGCGAACTGAAGAGATTCCCTGCTGCCCTTGAGGTCCCTTTTCCCCCTCCTGGTGGCCTTTGGGTCTCTGCAGTGACTCTCGTAATCTTGAAGGATGACTACAAAGGTATTCTAAGGGCATGGCGCTTCCTGGGGTTTCTACCTATCTGTACTGCATGACACCATAGCACCTTATCAAGGACAGGTCCAGAAGCTCTGCTCAGTTTGGATGACTCCACAAAACAGCCTGCACTTGGGGTACGTGCCATCCTCAAGCATGCCCTTCCAGACGGGAATTCGCGAAATACACCCCGAACACCCACCTTATGGAGCCTGTGCAGATAATCCTGACATTCTCGGTAGAGCAATGGTTTGTCCTTTCAGCATCGTGGGACTTCTCACCACTGAAAGAAGGCCCCTCATCGCCAGGTGGTGCAGAACACGTCCCTAGGAATCTCATGTAGGGGTCAGACGGTGGAAAAGATTCATCGGGAAAGATGACACCTGTTGGAGAAATGCAGGTTTTGAGTCATGGCGGTAGTTTTCTCAGGGAGGGAACATACTATGAGGGTGGTGAGACAGGTATCAGGAGGTTAGAGATCACTCTACGGTTCGTGGCTGGTTTTTCCCATTAATGTGCAACGTGCTCCTTTCTGAAACCTAATTAAGCTGCATTTTGGTTGTGCCCGCGTTCAATAAATTGAATTTGACAACTTTGATGAAAACCTATGCCTTCACCATAATTCGTAAGCGTTCCATGGCCTTTTCCTCTTTCTCCCCGTGGCAGTCTTTCCTTCCTTAACCTGTTCCCGTCCCCACTGAGCCTGCCCCTCCGCGCACACCGGAGAGATCACCTCCGTTAACATCCTCAGATCATACAGCTCGCAGACTGCCCTTATCGACGCCTTGGCTGCCTGCCTGGTGGGATTCTTTCCTGTTCTACATAGTGAGACCTGGGCTCTTCACCTAGAGGGGCAGATCTTGCGGAACTGGTGCTCTGCTTAGGGTTTGCTTGTTAACATTTTGGCTGTTAGCCTCCTAATAGATATGTAGAGAACCTGCTATCTATATATACATATGTATATATATATGTATATATGTGGAGAGTCTGCTTAGAGAGACGGTGCTGCACCGAGTCCTTGCCCTCTCATGGACTGCGCAAGCAGGGTGCAGAGCGTCTTGGGAAACGCCAGTCCGACTGGCTTTTCCACCTCCATGCCAGCTGTGGGGACTTGAGCTCTCTACACGTGGCGCTCCACGACTGAGTTCCCTCATGACCCCTTGGATCTCCCTATGCTGTTGCTGACCCATTGGCACAAAAAGCACGACAGCTCCGGAGGGGCACAGGTGGGAAGGGTGCAGAAAGCATGGAGACGAATAGCAGTCAGGATTGAGCGGGCCTCCTGCCATACCGCTCCCCCTGTTAGCTTGCCAGGGTGCTTTATGAGGCTACGGGAGAGGGCTTGCAGCCTCTGAGGCTGCTGGCCCCCATCCCCAAGGTCCAGAGACCTCCCTTGGATCTCCTCCGCCCTCTCCTCATTTCCCATCCTTGTTGCAAGCTGTGGTCGCACCCTGCTCTGCTGTGCTCTACGTGTGCCGCAAAACCCACTGGCCTCTTCTCCACCCCTTCTCCTTGTAGCACAGTGACACCTCCTTCCCTGCTGGACGTTGCTCCTCTCTCCCTGCCTCGCTCACCTCCCATCCCTCTCTATCCCATCCCAAGAGGGCGAAGGATCGCACAACTATTTCTCAGAACTGCTCTCCATCCGCTCCCTCACCCTTGCTTGCTCTTTCTGCAGGGTTATGTACTTCAAGTAGCTACCAGGCACAGACTGCAGATGGTGCAAGCATCTGTAGATGGAGCACCCTTCCTCCATCAGTGGTTTGTACAGGTCAGGGAGCCAGCCTGCTCCAGAGGATGATGCACCCGGCTTCCTCCCGTACCTGCGGCCCTGAACATAACCTCTCGGGTGCCTCATCCCTGCTTGTCCCTTCTCCCTCCAAAGCCAGTTCTGCAGGACCATTACAAGACACCCAGGGACTGCAGAAAGGGCTGTCTCTGCACACCCCAGGCCAGTCCCCTCTGGCTGCCTGGGTGGGTCCCGCTTGAGCCCGAGGACGAACGGACATGCTCCGAGCTACGGACAAACGGGCCCGCAAGGAAGACCTACGGAGACGATCCTCCTGCAGGCAGCAGACTAGGGAGTGCACTGCATCCGCTTCCCGTTATCCTCCAACAATTTGATTACACCCCTGCTTGGCAGACCACGGTCAGGTTTCTACCAACACCCCCCGCAACCTCGCCGATACCCCGGCCACAGCATGCTGCCAGATGCTTCCCGGCAGGGGGCCGCGCAGCCAC